AGCTTTGGGGCAGTGAGGTGATGCAATGGATAGAGTGCCAAGCCTTGAGTCTAAAAGACCTGGGTTTAAAACTGGCCTCAGAACCTTACTAGGTGAGTGGCCCTGTGTAAGTCACAGTTTGTCTCAGTTTCCCCATCTATAAAATGAGCTGGACAACAAAATGGAAAACCATTCGAGTATTTTTGCCAAGGAAACACCAAAAGCAATCAGGAAATGTCAGACATGACTAAAACAACTGAACAATGGACAACAATTGGAACTTTAACATGTATACATATTAGCAGATTTTCCTTGGTCCATATCATAAAGGTAATCCTACATTACATGAGAATCAGGCCACCAAACAAACACTGATTGCATATTTTGTTTAGATGCACATTTTGGAAGAGCAAATATGAAACATTAAAGCTGAGCCCTTGGACACCACAAATTCCTGAATATGCTGTGTTCTCTACTGAGTTTTGATGTAAACTCTCCACAGTGTAGATTCTTAGCTTAGTCAAATCACATGACTGATTGTGTTGGTGGTTAACACAGGAGATGGAGGAGTAGCCTATCAGGGAAGATCCATAAAGAGTCCAACCTATCAACATGGGATTTACTTACAGGAGATGGGGATGTTAGTTTTGGTGACATCAGCTTTTGGCTATGAAACTCTTTTTATCCTAACTCTATATTCACCAAGACATCTCTGATTTTAATTTACTTTACAAAATCAGCTTTCCTATTAAGAAGATTCATAAGAATCTAGGTATGCTCGACTCTTATGTTGGTAAATTTGAATAAATAAATTAGCCTTCACTAAATCAGGCAACCTTAGCTGAACTTGCACAGCATGAATCAAGGCTTCTAACTATTAATTCCTCGCCTAAATAAGTTGAGTAGTCATTTGCACTCTGCCATTTGGGGAAAGAAATAAGATTCAGCAAAGAATCTTTTTAAAGTGGATACCTTATATGGAAAAAAAATCACAGAGTTAGAGTTAGGAGAGACCTTAGAGGTCATCAAATCCAACCCTCTTATTTTATAAGGAAGAAATCCCATGCCCAGAGAGATGAAATAACTTCCAAACTATCACATAAGTATTAAGGGGAAGAGGCAGGATTAGAACCCAGTTCCTATGATGGCACATCCAGTGCTTTCCTCATGTGCCATGTGCCATGTGGCTTATGGCTCCTTTTAGCTTCACCATCAGTCAAAATGGTGGTCATAATGTTATCATTGTTCTATCTAAGCATTGATCACTTTGTTTATTTTAACTAGAATCTATGGGTGACAGTCTGAAATTAATTCTGCTATACTGAAATGGAGTATAATACATGTAAGACTATTAGTCATAATCTGCCAAAGGTGCCATATTCCACAAGGACTTAACCAAGAGGAATCAGGTAGAAATGCATATAATTCCTACGCAAACAGTCTTCATCTCTGCAACTGTCTCTTTCTCAAAATGGCTGAAAGTATTCCCAATTTCATCATAAGCCTCTTCTAACACTAACATTCTTTGCCCATTATTTACACTGTGTTACCCAGTTATTAATTTGCCACAATGATCTGCACTTAAGGAGTGAAGCTTAAAGAATCCCTGGAGAGAATCCTTTACTGAGCTGTCATTGTTGCACAGAATTGCCCTCACCAGATGAGACTTCAACAATGGTAGAGATAAAGGGATGCCCTAAACCAGACAGAGAAAAGAGGACCTAACAAGGCTTGGTAAATTGTAGATTGCTAATTATTGCTCCATCTGTCACTGCATCTATAGGCTGCAAATTAATGTAATATAAGATCAATACCATTTTTAACATCTTGGCCCAGCTCCTGGCACATAGTAAGCATGTAATAAATGTGTATTCCCTTCCCACTGCATTTATCTAAAACTATTTTCTGCTAAGATTCATTAAGATTGATTATGATATGGGCTCAGTCTGGTGTAGGAGTGGAATGAGAGATTATGGATCAACTCAGGAGAAGTTGTGTGAAAACCTGTGAGGAGGTGCTCTATGTATGAAAATGTTCAAAGTAGCCCTTTTTTGTGTTAGCAAAAAAGAAACAAAAACACAACTAGGGAAAAAACAAATTGTGGTATATGGACATAATGCTATATCATTACACTATTAAAAATAAAAAATATGAAGAATTCAAAGAAACAAAGGAAATCTTTTGTGAACTGATTTGCAGCAAGGTAAGCAAAGCCTGAAGAAAATAATGTACTGGAATTCTCAGTATTCAAATACTGAAATGGATCTGTGATCTCATTGATTTGGAAGTTCCCTCTGAGGAAGCACAGCACAATCCATCCCTGCATCTCTCATTAATGTCTTTCCATGACTTGATCACAGGGATTCACTCATTGTGCTAAAAGTCTTCCCTACTTTCTCCTTACATAGCAAGGATACCAGTGAAGCATTCTCACTCTCATACCTCACACTTCCATATGACCACCCTGTTTTCCTACCACATAGTTCCTTGGTGGCATTTTTTATACCACAATGATTTTAATAATGTCAATAAAAACAACACAAAAAGCAAAGCAAGCTCATAATACTTCTGAAGGCCAATCTCACAAAGGGGTGAGATGACTGGAGATGCCCAATATGGCAGACACAAATAGTAGCCAAATATAATGGTCAAAGGCACATATGTGCAAGTAGTTGTTTGTTTGTTCACTATTTTTCTTTTTTGCAAGACTAGGGTCTTAGAGGGGTAAGTAAGTGAGGAGGGGAAGATGGTGGACAGATAAAAGTGTGACTTAAATAAAATACAGATTTATTTAAAGGGTACCTACAAGTAAAAGTGTCTAAGAAAAGAAAACTACTTAGCTACTGAAGATAAAAATCTATCAAGGACCTTACCCCTGGACTAGATGCTTCTAGCCACAACAAGATACTGAAGTGATGCACAAAACAAATGTAACCATTTCAGAAGGATTTCAATCATAGGGTTTAGAACTGCAAGATTATATAGTCAAGACCCTTCATTTCACAGTTGAGAAAACTGAGGCTCAAAAAAGTGATATTACTTACCCTTGACCACATATTACCTAAAAACTGGATCATAGAATCAAAAATCTAGAGGTGGAAAGGACCTCAGAAGCCTTGTAGTTCTACCCCTAATTTTACAAATGAGTAAACTGGTGCTGGAGAAGACTTTCGAAAGTCTCTAGGTCAGCAAAGAGATGAAATCACTCAATACTTCAAGAAATGAATTCAGGCTACTCCCTGGAAAGTCAAATACTGAAGCTGGAGCTTTGGCCAAAAAATAAAAAACTAGATCCATTGGAAAAGCCCCTGATGTTGGCAAAGACTGAAGGAAAAAGGAAAAGGGTACAGTAGAGGATGAGATGGATCCATGAGGTCACAAGGAGTCAGACACAACTGAATGACTGACAACATAGAACGGACAGCAACAAAAATGAGGCCTAAAAGGTAAAATTACTTGGCCATGGTCACACAGTAGCCATAAATAGAATCACAGATGTAGAGCTAGAAGAGACCACAGAAGCCATTCAATCTAACTCCTTCTTGTTACAAATGAGTCCCTAGGAAACTAAGTGATTTATTCAAGGTGACAGAGGCAGTAAGACCCATGTCATTTGACTACCAAGTTAGTACTCTTTCCTCTAAAGCTAAATGTACGTAGGCACATAAGACCTTCATCTAGACAAAAAAGATATTAATGACACTGGAAAATAAACAAACCAACAAAAACAACAACCTTATTCACTCGAGGGTTTGCACAAACACCTGTTTGACTTTGTATCAAGGACCTAGGGGAATGGGACGTGTCGAAACACTTCAACCAAACCACAGATGTAGCTGTGAGCAATCCTGGACAGTACAAATGTTCTCAGTGAGTCAATAAGCATTTATTAAGTACCTACTACGTCCTAGGCACTTTGCTAAGCACTAGGCATACGGAAAGAGGCAAAAGATATTCCCCGCCCTACAGAAGCTTGCAATCTAATGGAGAATGTTCATCACTGAATGTGCTCACTGACTCACTCATTAATGAATGATAGACCAATGTGTTTGTGCTCCGTAAGAAAAAACAAGTGAAAGAGTGTGCCTGAACTTTTGTATTTGATGAATGTCCAAATATTAGAATTCCGTTGTCTATATATTAGTCCTAATGACACTGAATTGAATGCATAGTCAAAGTTTGTCACCCTTAATACTCATTACCCACAAAAGGAGTCGTTCTTGTTGAAGCACTACTGTATCTGCATTGATGGCACTAGTGGATACAGTACTATACCTGGAATCAATGAAACCTGAATTCAAATCCTGCCTCAGACTTTTGTTAGCCATGTGACTCTGGTGCAAGTCAGTAACCTTTCTCACCCTCAGTTTCCTCATCTGTAAAATAGAGATCAATAACACCTACATCTCAGGGTTATTGTTATAATGAAATGAGAAAATATAAGTAAAACACTTATATTGTATATAACAAATATTATATTTATATTAATAGTATAAATACATATATACATATATATTTTTTACATTGGTCTAGTTTATGAAACAAAAGGTTTGCATCTGAACAACTCAAAAATGTTTAAATAAAAAGCTAGAAGCAAAATAGCTTATGAAAATTCCAAATTTATATAAAGTTCTGTAATTCAAACTTAGAAATAAATATAAACAGGGAACAGATCTCTTAACAGTGACTGGCAACTTTTAACAACAAAGGCTAAATGAATCCATATGCAAAAAGAAAACTTTTGTTTTTTTTAACAATTTGGTTATAGAAGTTACAAGAAAGACAACTTTAAAACCATAAAATGCTTTTCCTCATACTCCAAAATACTACTCAAAAGTAGGCAGTAGGAGAACACTTTAGCTATGCCCTTAAAACATACAAAGGGGAGGATAGATTCTCCCAGTTCCTCAGCCCTTCTGTCTAGAATCTTCTAAAATGAGCATTAATCATTCTAAGACTCAAAACTGGTCAAATAAAGTCCTTCATACTGAATAATTTATCCCTGCCTGGGTCATACTCACCTGCACCTGCAGTCTTTGGGCAACCGCAGAAAACGAAGGAGTGGAGTCAACAGAGAGATGTAGTTTCAAAAGGTTTTTTCAGCCTTTCTCTCAAGCGGGTAATCAATTACGCAGCTACCCTACTTACTACTGCTGCTACTACTGCTACTCTATCTCCTGCTGATCCTGCCTTCAGCATTTTATATCTTTTACTCATGGGAACATACCCAATGTAACAGTGAATAAAGCAACAAGGTTTACATATCTTCACCAATAGGCAACACCGAACATCTTTCCCATGCGAATAACAATCAAAGTATCCACAAGTACATTTCTTTGCAACATTGTCCTGACTGTGTCCTTCTCCCGTGCTGTTCCCATAAAACACCATGTACTTTTCCTTCCCGGAATGTTCCCAATACTTGATACATGAATTAGCAATACTGGATATCTCTTTCTGCTAGAGCTGACTGTGCTTGAGCTAGCAACATTGTGTTATAGTTTGAGCTTGCCTAGTATCAGAGTTCTGCTGATTGAGGAATGCAAGATCCGTGGATGGAGAACCGAGCCAGGATATTCTGCACATGTACTAACACCTGAGAGGGGCCTTTGCCCATCAGTGAAGTCTCATGAACAGCCTGTGGTCCTCCACATCCTGCAGATACCTACATGAAACACTATGTTTAAAGCACTGCACTCTATTAAGCACTGGGGATACAAACAGAAAAGGAGACAGCACTTGCACTCAAGAAGCTCCCATTCTAATGCAGGAAGCAATATAACTGGGTTCAATTTCACCTCCAAATTAAATGTAAAAGTGAAATATTCCTTAGTTGTGGTGGCAATGCAGGAACTAATGCCTCTTCTTTAATACTATTTCCACTGATAAAATCGTATCATTTTTTGTTACTGAACCCTTAGACTTAAGAATAAAAATTAGAATTCTAATCATTCAAAAGAGGCTGCTACCTTGCCAACCACACAGAAAAAGCCAAGAAATAAAGAATGCTTAGTGTAAGGGTTACATGGATAATTTCCAGGAGGATGTGGACCATGGTCCCAGCAGAGGAGAAGACTTATGAGGCAGTGATTTGCATAAACCAGGGAGTTTTCTCAATAAGACCACAGAGTCATCAAAGTAGGATACTTTTGACTTATAATGAACCCGTATTCCACTATAACCCATTCCACTTTTTTTCCGTATACATTGCTTTCTAGCCAAACAACCCTCATCATGTACTTGTAAAGTTTATTTCTGGGATCTGAATGTAAGACTTATACTTGGCTCTATTATTACATTTGGTCAAACATCCTGGTGTGTTTTTAACATATGGTAGCTTCTCAAAGAATTTTGTTCAGTTATGCCAGTGGCTTCTATGAAGGTCTCCTTGCTTGTTACTGATATTGACGCAACGCTTTCCTATACTCAAAAGAAAATTATTTAGGATTTCCTTGAGAGCTAGGATAAAAATAGGTAGAAACAGAAATCCAAAATGAAATTCAGATCCACTGAAAATCATGAACTGGCTTCAATTATATGTCAATGCCCATTTGGAAGCATGGATTGTCAAACTCCTCAAAGCATAGGAATGCATACAAAAAGTTATGCTTTGCTATTCTAGACTAAGGCTTATTCAAATTGGTACTCAAAGAGAAAGTAGTGACAATAACTCCATGGCCTATTTTTATGTAAATTGGTATCACTATCTATGCAATATATGGGAATATCAAGAAGGTGTAAGGCATAGCAGTTAGAGAGTTGTTCTTGAAACCACTAAGACCTGAGTTCAAGTCCTCCCTCAAAGACATACAAGATTTGTGACCTTGGCCAAGTCATAGTAGTCCTACTTTCTAAGATAATGAATCACAGAGATTTGGATTACTTGAGGGAGATTCCTGACCTCAGAAATCCCAATAGCATCCAAAATACAAATATAGTGAATACATGAAGGAACTGCGATTTTTAGCACCATAAGAAAATCCTGATACATTTGTATGTAAGCCTGTGAATCACAAGACAAAGCCAGTACCACACAGAGGTTAATAACTTCTTTAAGGCCATGCAGTTAGTATGTATGATGTATTATCATACTGATTTTATCTATATGATATAGGGTTATATGTACCAAGTGAGATTACAAATACAGAGAAACAGTGTCTTAAACATCATAATCTTAACTGTATGAAATTATCATAGTATTGAGGAAATGTAGTGAGAAAAAAACCTTAATATACTACATCCTGGTTTAGAGAATCACCATTTAATAAAATGGATAAGAGAAGAAAAACACTCTAATCTAGGGTGCCACTGAGATGCCCAGAATGGATTCCTGTATTGGTTAACTCCTTCTAAGTGCTTTAGTTATATGAGTTTACCAAGCAGTAACTTTGAATTTGCCTTTCTGGCATTTGCAAACACCCTGCCTTTATTTCACATCAACTTAGCAGAAAACACCAAGGAAGGCCATAAGCTTTTGAATCAAATCTTCTCATTTTTACCAGAGAAGGCATGACAAACTCTATGGCTCCATTCACAGTATTTTTAATTGGAGTCCTAAGACACCTCTTCTGCCTGCTCTCTCATTCTCATCGATGTCAGTCCTATCCCTCTAAGATCCCTATCCAAATCTAATCCAATGTAATTTAATAAACATTTATTAGAGCCTATTAA